ATGAATTAAATTTCAAAAGGAAAAAAGAAATTTTTTTAGCTAAGTATGGTGGTCACTTAATTACATTTTAATATGATCTTTAAAAAATATCTGTAAAGCTTGTTGATTTAATCAATTGGGTTCTTTTGAACACCTTCACATCATTAATAATTTTTCTTGTTTACTTAATGACATTAATTTTCCAATCTCGCTCTTCCAAATGCTTTCAAATTTCTAATACCTTTACATTTCATTACTATTTTACTTATCACATCATGTTACATTCTTTCCCTTACAAAAGCGTTTGGCTTCTCCCACTAATGAAATTTCCTTTCCCTGTCATGAAAAATCTGAATAATGCAATACAAATTATTTCGTATACTTTTTTAAAGAAACGTATATTGGTGAGGGTTAGTTTAGCAAGTATATTCTGTTATTAAAAACAATTATAAAAAGAGAACTTTTAAGACTAGGAAAGGTATAATTTATTTGAGACCTCTACAATCTAAAGTTCATGCCACCGTTCTTGAGATAGAAATTCTGTAACCTTTTATTGATCACGCCTCTCGCTTAAAATACTTACTTAGGTTAATGTTTACTGCACTAAATTGGTGCAAAATGTTTAATTTAGGAGTAAAATATTCTTTAAGGTTTTGTTTTATTCATAACTGAAGCTGCAAAAGGAGAGGGCCACAAACTAAGTCTGCGGCCACCTAACAGAAGTAGGTTTGGTTTACGTAATTACGGCAATGCCAAAGGGCTATCTGGCCAAAGGCAGGGATACCATCATCGAGGACTTTCTAATGAATACTGGCTCGTATACATGTTACACATGGGGAAAACCACAAAAACACCCATGCAGCCTGTCTGTTCATGAGATTCGAAATTCGGACCGAATGCCAGGGTTCATGACTCTAAAGTTTGGCCTCTGCTGAACCTAACAGAAATAGGGTGACCGTTTTAACATATAGAGTCTTTTGCAATGAAAATTGCCTTTTTAGGCTAGAACTTTATAAATGCATTCAGAAAAATGGGCACAAAAAATTTTCCCATTACTATGTAGTTAAACCGAAAACTAGAAAGAGAAGGAATGAAAGAGGGAAAAAGAAATAAATTAATGAAAAATGAAATGAATATTTATACATTTTAACAGGTATTGCGAAAAGTTATATTTTATAAGAACAACATTAATATAAGATATTATACTGAAAATTACACATTGCCACTTTCAAAACATAGTACATAATATTATGTAGTTACATGACTAATCTAGTTAAATCCAGCATCGATAGATAGCACCACATTACGAGGATTTTTCAGGATGTGACGCTTTGCTTCACCTACTTGGTTTGTAGCCTGCTCCTTCTGCATGGATTCAGTTATGGATAAAACAAAACCTTAAAGAATATTTTACTTATTAATAAATCAAACATTATGCACCAATTTAGTGCTGTAAACATTAACATAAGTATCTTAAGCGAGAGGCGTGGTCAATAAAAGGTTACAAAATTTCTATCTCAAGAATGGTGGCATGAACTGCAAATTATAAAGGTCTCAAATAATTTATACCTTTCCTTGTCTTAAAAATTTTCTTTTTATAATTGTTTTTAATAACAAAATAAAATATATTTGCTAAACTAACCCTTACCACCATATGTTTCTATAAAAAATATAATTCAAGAATAACAATAATTTTTATCGCATTATTCAGATTTTTCATGACAGGGAAAGGAAATTTCATTAGTGGGAGAAGCCAAACGCTTTTGTAAGGGAAAGAATGTAACATGATGCAATAAGTAAAATAGTAATGAAACGTAAAGGTATTAGAAATTTGAAAACATTTCGAAGAGCGAGATTGGAAAATTAATGTCATTAAGTAAACAAGGAAAATTATTAATGATGTGAAGGTGTTCGAAAGAACCCAGTTGATTAAATTAACAAGCTTTACAGATATTTTTTAAAGATCATATTAAAATGTAATTATGTGACCGCCATACTTAGCTAAAAAAAAATTCTTTTTTCCTTTCAAAATTTAATTCATATTCCCTGACGAGAAATTTCAGCGATTTTCAATTTGTTGAATATACACCAAACGGCACGATAAATATCAAACAATTCTAAAGTAACACAATAATTAAAAGAACATATCAGATCTTTAAGAATTGAAAAATGAATTTTACTGAGAATGAAAAAATAACTTAAATATTGAACTTATGAAGAAGTCGAGAAATTTTGTAATTGATAGTAAGTTTGAATAATTATTGGGTATGTGTCAGCTAAACGTCACTGTCAGCTTAGTGTCCTGTTCACTAAATGCGTTGACATTTAAGTGTGCTGTAGCCAAATGTCCTGACGGCTAACTCTTTGTGTCGCCTAACTGTCCATGTTGGCTAAATGCCCTGTCGGCTAACTGTCCGTGTTGGTTAAATGGCCTATCGGCTAAGTGTCCTTGTTGGCTAAATGTCCTGTTGGCTAACTGTTCGTGTCAGCTAAATGTCCTGTCCGCTAAATGTCTTGTCGGCTAAATGTCGTGCCTGCTAAGTATCTGTTTCAGCTAAATGTCCTGTCGGCTAAGTGTCCGTGTCGGCTTAATGCCCTGTCGGTTAAGTGTCATGGACCCGGCTTGCGTGACAATCTACAAATTTTCATTCAGAATTTCTTGAGCACTAGGATTGAAGTAAGGATTGCCTCTGTTTTGTCTTATGTTTTTGAACAGGAAGAGAATGTGCCTCAAGGCTGTGTACTTAGTAGAACCCTTTTCGGCTTAAAAATAAACTCTGTATTAAAAGAACCTTGTTCCTTTCCTGGGGTCTTTATATGTTGATGATCTACAGATTAGCTGTCGAGGGGCAGACATGAGATACATAGTTAGACAATTGCAGATCTCTTTGAGTAAGTTCCATGAATGGTCAGAAAACAGAGATTTACATTTTCGAAACAGAAGCCTTTTGTGAATGCACTTTCGTAGGAAACGAGGTTTCCATCCTGAGCCTGAGTTATATCTGAATGGTACAATTATTCCAGTTGCACCTAAAGTAAAATTTTTAGGATTTATTTGTTCGGCCGAAAATTGACTTTCCTTTCTCATGTCTTAAACCTGAGAAAGACGTGTTTAAAAACACTAAATATTTTAAATTTTTTGGCGAACACCTCCTGGGGTGCAGAGCATTGCTCTGTGCTTTGCATTTACATAGCACTTATCTGCTCTAAACTGGACCGTAACTCAATTGTTTATGGATCCGCTCGGTCTTCTGTTTTTGTTAAAATTAGATCCTGTTCATCATCAAGCTCTACCAATTTGTTCTGAAACTTTCAGAACATCTCCCGTCCAGAGCCTTTATGTTGACTCTAACAAACCATCACTTCATCTGAGGCATTAGCAGTTGTTTCTTTTGCAGTATTTTAATATTTTATCGCAACCTGAACATCCTAATAAACTGTGCTTACTTAATAATGTGTAACACTTTATTTGAAACATGTTCATCCTGTGTGCCTACCTTTCCTTTAAGAGTTCATCCTGTGTGCCTACCTTTCCTTTAAGAGTTCACCCTGTAATTTAGGAACTCTTCCTCTCTGATATTTGCCCCCAAGCAGCGCAGAATTTTAAAATACGATGTTGGGAAAATGCACGGATCCAGCTTCTTGATGTTTTTGACCATCATGTGAAGGCAAACACTAATGACATTGGTTATAGACAACTCTTTGCTGAGCAGAGCCATAAATATGGTAGTTATTTTCCAGTATATACAGATGGATACAAGTCGAATGTTCATGTTGGAATGGCATTTGTAATTGGAGATCACGTAGAGGGCAGATGTTTGCATCATGCTTTCTCAGTCTTAACATCTGAACCAACTGCAATATATTATGATCTTTTGTACATCTCAAAGCTCTGCCACAAGAAGTTCATTCTATATACAGACTTGTATAGTACACTGAAAGTGTTAGAAGCTTTTTTCCAACACTCAGAATACTGTAATAGTGAACACTCTGAAGACACATATAAGCTTAATGAGTCGTGGATATGAAATCCTATACTGCTGCCCCCTTCCCAGTGTTGAGCAAGTATTGTAATTATTTTTTTGTAACAGAATAAATGTTAAATCATATTTTGTTGAATATGTCAAAAAAAAATTTTTGAGGTACTCAGTTTATCATAGAGTTATAATTAAACAAAAACTAAATTCAGTGGTATAACAGCCCTAGTGGGCCAATGCCTGCAGTGCCCCGAAATCTGCTTTCTTGACCGTGGGCCCTGGGGTGAACAAGTGGTCGGTTTGTCGCAAGACCCCCCAGTGTTTAGTCCCCAAGCGAACTTGGTACTCATTTTATCTACTCAAAGATGGAAATCAAGGAATGAAAGGCTGAGTTGATCTTGCCAGACGGGGGATTGAACCCCGGACCTGTGGTGCTGCTGTGCGATGCGCTAGCCACTGTGCCACCGGGCCTAGAGTTCTTCCTCCATTTTGTAACAAACTAATTTAAATTATGCATTTTTGGAGAATTTAATAGTTAAGGGGTAATTTTACATTTGTCAAACAATCAAGTCAAATTTATTTAAATTCAGATTCAGTTTAAATACAAATTTAATTCATTCTGATGATAAAGTTAGGAAACTTGAAATAAAAAAACTGGTAAAACATCGTGAATATTGTTAAAATTGAAAATTTTGTGGTTTACATTTGTTTGACAAACTGAAAGTGAATCTGACTGGATAGTGATTTGCCAATAAGGACAAGTGCAAAGAATGGTTCTACAGTGGTTCCATGGCTAAAAGCAAATTTTTCTTATCTACAGTCAAACATTTAATTGGATGTTTCAGAAGGTAAAGACTGAGGTCTTATACTGAAAATAGTGTAGTTTATCTATCATTTTGTATTGCTGTAATGAAATTGTATCTAATAGTAAGAATAATGCTATTGTAACAAAATTTTCTGGATCTATAATAGTCAAACATAACGTATGTTTTAATCTTTATCAGCTATTTTAAAATATTTTCATTTAAACATTTTATAACTTAGGTATAAATCAAGTTATTTTGCTGGGAAGAGTTGGGATCAATCCTCAGCTTCGAGGCACAGAAAGTAAACCTGTTGTTGTCTTTACCTTAGCCACCAATACAAATTACAAATATGATTCAGGTAGTATATTTTTGTGTAATGCATTGTTGTTAGATTTAAATTAATGATGTGCAGAGTGTTTCTGAAATGCTATAGAATTTGAATTACCTTCTAAGATCAAATAAAATTAAGAGTTTTTTTTTTACTTGACCAGCATTAAAAAATAATACAGTGCATTATACATTTAAGAGACTGCATCATTACTTTACAGAAAAACACACTGTATTGTGTAGTATAGTGTAGTATTTATCTACTTTATCTGTATAAAAACACACTCTATACATTTAAGAGACTGCATCATTACCTTACAGAAAAACACAGAATAGATAAGTTTATTAGAAAGTGCAAGTGTAAAAAAAATATGTACATTATCAAATAATATAATATTAATATTTTATATAAAAGATATTGATTTTATTTTAGTTAAGTATAGTTTTGTCATAAAGATAAATGGGTATTAAATTAAGTATTAGCACACCTAACTCACAGTGGTGTTAAATCATGCAATATTTTGCAAATTTTCTACTTTTGACAAATCTGCGCAACTAAAATTTATGTGCATGCGATTTTGCAATTTTTATGGCACTCCATCATTTCCTTGGACCACTTTTTTGCAGTTTAAAAATATCTTGATATGTCATAAAATGATTATATGCTAAATATATTAAAATAATGTATCTGTTAAAATTAATTTAAAATAAATTCATGTAGGCTTAAATAGAAATTGGCATCTGGCAATCTTAAGCTCACAGAGCATAAGCAGTTTTACAGTGCTAGTCACTGGTATTTTCATGTATTTGATTGATTGCTTTGTTTAATATTTAAAGTTAGCAGCAGGGGAAAAAAAAAAAAAAAAAAAAAGGATAAGCAGGAAAAAAAAGGTATTTTCAAGAGTCACCTTCGACTAAACCAAATATCAAAGTAGAATGCATTTGGAACTCTTAAATTCCAGACTTCAAATGAAGATGTCATTTGAAGAAAAAGAAATCTGCTCTGTTTACTTTGTACCCTAACCACCCAGACATACATATAGTTAAGACATACATATAGATATTTATGCATAGAAAGAAATGAGGATAACAGGCATAACAGACCGAGAAAAGAAACAGGATGATGAAGAGCTATTAAATTTATTTTTCTTTTAAATAATTGGAAAAAAATATGCATATTTTATACGACTTTTTTTTTCCTTCTAAGCACTAGTAAATGAATCATGTATGTTATGATAATATGTTTCGTAATATATTTTATTTTAGTTCAAGTCCTAATCCATTTATTTTTCAATGACACTAAATAAGATATCTTCACAATACAGTAGAATACAAATACAGTTGATTCTTTCAAGATAACCACTTCTGAAAATGGTCTGCATTTATAAGAACATAAATTTACATTAGCTCTATAAAATGGTTGCCTTCACAGAAAATCAAAATTGTCTGGAATCATGAGTCAGAGAATGTTCACTATGTTTGTTCTATAATATATTTTATTTCAAATGTTAGATTAATTTCAAAGTGAAATATTTTGAGAACTAGCCCGTACTGTTTAAGCAAACTGGAGTTTAACTTTAGAAGTTAAAAATTGAATGTCTGTATATAATTGGAATAATTATCTCATTGTACCTATAAAATTCCAAGACACCATTCTTAACCCATTTCCTATTATTAAAATCTTGTAAAAAAACAATGATAAGTACAAAGGGCAACTTTTATTTACCATGTATCTTTGGTAGAGGTGATTATATATATATGATATATGAAATTCGAAAATTAATGCTAAAAATATTGTGAAAAAGCAACTCTACTTGAGGTTGTCTTGTATATAAGGCAATTTTTCCCCTCCTCATGGAGCAAAGATTATATTGGATTGTTCATTTTATTGGGGAATTCCTGTAAAACAATAGTAATAAAAGGGAAAATATTGCAAAAGAATATAAAACAGAGTTATGCACTTTTATACTAATATTGATGATTTAATTGCTCTGCAAATTTTCTTCTGAAGTCAGTGTTCCCCCACTTCCAATTCGATGGTGATAACAAAGTGATTTGTATTCTGAATGCCATATATTAGACATTCGAACAGAGAAAAAATGAAATTTATTCTTCTGGTTATAATATTGCTAAGAACTGAAAAATCAAGATGACTTAAAAGTCAGTTTTCTGAATAACAACATGAAATTTAACAATGAAGGAACAGGGGTTTTATTAGTAATCAGAATCTGATAAAGTGGAGCAAGTCAACAAAGCAGAACAGAAAACTCACTGAAAAGCATTAACAATTAAAATAAAGCAAAAATTGGTAAAATTAAAAGAAGAAACTGCCAACTCAAAAAAATTAGTACAAAATCTGTAACAATCCAAACGTGGGAAAACACAAATTAAATTTAAAATAAAAACCTAAATTAACTTAGCAATATAGTTATAAAATTTTCATCAAAACTAAGATACATACTTAAAATGACTAAGAATCGTCTTACTGTCTGTGGCTTGTAGAACCAATGGAGAAGACTTATAAAAGAATACAGAGTGAATTTTTGATGAGATCATTTTATCTCTAATGTCATGCTTCTTTTTGCTATTTTTTTATAATCTCCTGCTACTTTAATTAAAAAATTTGACAACACTGCCACCTCAGCACACAGCGAATTTTTTGCAGGAAAAAAAAGAATCCATTACTATGGTATAACTGCATAAATTATTCATTATGTACATACAAAACTGGGTATGGTGTATAACTGCATAAATTATTATGTACATACAAAACTGGGACAAGGGAGTGGCATTTATCTCAGGTGAATAACTAGAAAAGGCACCAAATTAGTTATGACAAGTTAAAAATTTAAAGTTATGAGTGTTATCAATAAACATCAAAGAACATCAAGAAACATTGTTTAAAAATATGTTATAAGTAATAAAACTTTGTCAGCATTATTTGTTGCAGCGTAAAACCATTATATTTTTTATGTTCCTTTCATTCTCTGTAATATGTTGCTAAATGATTCCCATTAACAATTTTTAATAACCATTGGACGGCTTCTCTTATTTTACATTGGACACAGCACAGCATCGGTATAATACCAAGTTTCTTTCATACGCATTTTTATTGCAGTCTTTATTAATTCCTTGAAAGGAGTTAAGAAAAAAAAAATACTTTTTATAAGTAGTTCAGCCGTGTTAGAAAAAAAATCACATTCATTTATTCTCAAAAGTTTTAGGTTTCACAATACAGTACGCATTGAATCTAATATTAAATTATTATTATTGGATTTAAGATTTTGATGTTGATTTTTATTTATGGTAATAAATTATATTACCCAGAAAATGCCTTGCTGTGATTTTGCACTCCTCCCATTAATTTGTATTAGAGTTTTTACTGCAAGCTTCACCATAACAAAATTGCCTAGAGTTGCCATGGTTGCCTAGAGTTTGTTTCAGCAGAGCTAATGGAAAAAATTGTACTGAATAGCATCAACAGCGATGTTTGAAATTAAATTTTACCTTGTTATCAGGTTCTTGCTTTAGTCTTTGAGTAAAGTTAAACTCGCTTCATTTTTCACTATGATTTTCTACAAGGTAACAAAAAATATTCTTGCCGTTTCTGATATAACATTGGAAGAGGGAACTCCAACATAAAAATAGTTACCGAACCTGGCGATGAAGTGGTTAGGATGCAAGTCCAGACATTGGCCAAGAGTATAAAAGCGTATTGTATCGGTACTTCAAACATGACTCACACAGTTGACTTATTGAAATGGATGCTCCAAAGGCACACATTGAGTTGTTTGCTGTAGGATTTTAAAGTGGTCTTGTCAGCAGCAGAATCAAGTCGCCGAGTTCGCCAGGCCTTTGGGGATGATGCCGTTAATGAACGAACCACTAGGCTATGGTTCCAGAAGTTCAGGTCAGGGAATATGTCTCTTAGTGGATGTACCATGTAGTGGTCGGCCATAAGCGTTGGACGATGAGGCCCCGAGAGCAGCCGTACAGAGTGACAGTAGCCAAAAATGTGGTGAGCTTGCTGCATACTTCCAGGTATTTAATGAAATGATCAGACTAGACTCCATTTGCACCGCATAGGAAAGGCATACAAGCTAAGCAAGTGGGTACCCCACTCACTTTCGAATGCAAACAAGCAACAGCATGTCGCTGCCTGTTTGTCATTGCTTACTCGGCACTGCAGTGCATCCGTATTTGATCGAATACTCACCAGTGATGAAAAGTAGGTTCCATATGACCCACCCAGGTGTTCCAGACATTGATTGTCACCACAGGCCCCTGTGCCTCACACTGTGTAACCTTCTCTCCACCCGCACAAGATTGTGCTCTGTATCTGGTGGACTAGTTGCCAAGTGGTGAACTATGAGCTCCTGCAAGTGGATCAAACCATCATGGCAGGCCTGCACTCACAGCAGTTGCAACATTTGCATCAGGCCATGATGCATAAAGAGCCAGCATTAGTTAATCATAAGAGGGTACTCCTCGTTCATGACAATGCGAAGCAGTATGTTACTTGGGAGGCCAGGAACACAATCCAGCGACTGGGCTGGGAGACACTACCCCAGCTACCATACTTCCCAGATCTCGCACCAACAGACTACCACCTTTTCCATTCCCTGGGCAACCATCTTCATGGTAAATCCTTCAATAACTGGCCAGACCTGGAAAATAACCTATAAACAAAGATTAAAATAAAGGTAATGTATTGAAATATATCTTTGCGTCCAAGATTCCTGAGTTTTACTGCAATGGCATCGCACAACTAGCCACTGGTTGGCAAAAGGCACTGGGTGCCAATGGGGATTACTTTGATGATTAGAGGTGATTATTATTTGTTTTATGACTTATTTTTTTCTGACTGTCCAAAACAGCAAGAACATTTTTGGTTACCTTGTATGAGTAGTTCACTTTTCATTTTTCACTCTAATGTTCTATATAGGGTTCATATAGTCTTTAAGAGTCTTCAAAAGTCCTTAAAGGTTTTTTGGAATGGATTTTTGATTTTTAAAACTCCTTAATTTTGGT